CCGGGCTCGGTGGCTCAGCCTGTAATCCCGCGCCTTTGGGAGGTTGGGGTGAGTGGATTGCCTGAGCCCGCGGGTTCGAGACCCGCCTGGGCAGCGAGACCTCATCTCTACAATAAATCAAAAAATTAGCCGGGCATGGTAGCACGCGCCTGTAGTTCCAGTTCCTTGGAAGGCTGAGGCGGAAGGATCGCCAAGCCCAGCAGGTCGAGGCTGTGGTGGCCAGGAGTATGCCACTGCACTCCAGTCTGGGTGACAGAATGAGACTCCAACTCAAAAAAAAAAAAAAAAGAACACTCAAAAGTAATCTGACAAAAATCAGAACAGTAATTACCTCTGGGTAGGGGATCTGACGAGAAAGGGAGACAAAAAGAACTTTTTGGGGCAATGGAAATAATTCTACATCTTGATTTTCATGGGTACCCAGCTGTATACATTTTACAAAACTCGTTGATCTGTATGCTTTAAGATCTGTAGATTTGGATCTATGCTGATTACTTCTCAAATAAAAAAGCTATTTGTCTTTTCATTGAAAATTCATATCTGAATTTTCTTACTCAAAGATTTTTTTTTAAAGGTAAAAGGAAGCCAGGCGCGGTGGTTAACATCTGTAATCCCAGCACTTTGGGAGGCTGAGGCGAGAGGATTGCCTGAGCCCACGGGTTCGACACCAGCCTGGACAACTTGGCAAGCCCTCGTCTCTACAATAAATCACAAAAATTAGCCGGGTGTGGTAGCGCAGACCTGTAGCTCCAGCTACTTGGAAGGCTGAGATGGAAGGATAGCCTGAGCCCAACAGATTGAGGCTGTGGTGACTTCAAGTGTGCCACTGCACTCCAGCCTGGGTGACAGAATGAGACTCTGACTCAAAAATAATAATAATGATGATAATAAAGGTAAAAGGGAAGAAAGACAGTCATGGTTTTGGTTTCGCTCAAAAAGTTTTAGATATAAGGATATGAAAGCCCAGAGGAAATGGGAGCATGCAAATTAAGAGCTTCCGGTCTATACAGAGTCCCTGCCTTAGCTGTCCTCCCAACCATCAACTACCAGATCCTCAGTCTTTCTGTTGCAGCTCTTCTCTCTATCATTCTCAGCCCTGTTTTGGAGCAAAACTGCCCCCATTCTATCTGATGTAACCATATAGGATTGTTATATAAGGAAATGCTCATTGACAAGGGAGATGTCATTCCAAATCCTGTTATTACAATCTTCTTTGTAAATTCTTGAAATTTTGTATCTGTCCATGGCAGATACATGGGGAGGGGGGGTAAGATGACAACACACAACAGCTTTCCAGAGGCTCTTCAGTCTTATCCTTGATATTTAAATGAAATTATGGGACTTCTACTTCAATCAATTGAAAAATGTTTCTTTAGCATTATAAGGCCTCTAAGAAATGCATTATTGATTATATAGCATTGGAATCCTTTCAGTTGAAGTTAAATTGTTTAATTTTAACTTTACATTTCAAGGCAGCAAACACTGGAGAACTACATGCATAAAAGTCAATATAAAAGCCTCTTATTAAACTACTAATTTTCCAAAGATTTCTGTATGTATTGAAGAATTTTTTCCCTGAGAGAATAAATGCTAAAATGAGTTTCCCAATCTGAAAAGAATTTATTTAAAACATGTCTTAGCTGTTCTTGGTATTTATTCTGAATTCCTGGCACACAAAAAAAAAATTTTCTTTATAAACCTATGCAATCCCACAGAGTTCTATGTAATTTCATATAATGCATCATCATTCACAATCACTATCATATAACACCAACTGTTAGTGAATGAGTATAGCCATATGCAAAGGGTGGTAATTCATTTGGATCCATTTCCTTCAGGTTCTTTCTGCTCGTTCTAAATACTTTCTATTTATCTAGACTCTTTCAACCAGGGCACTTGGAAAAAAATAAAATAAACTGAAACCCAAAAATCTTTTCGTATACTGATACACGGGCATTTTAACTTAGATACTCCAGGATCAACTACATATATATACATACATACATACACACACAGCCAAAAATGTATACACATTTTAAGAAAAAAAAACTGTGCTAGAATTGTAATACTCAACATATACTGATAACAAAAGATGAATACAAGTCACCTTTGACTTCTGCAATAACAAGAGGCACTCAAAGTAGTTACAATCAGCATCCAGACACTTCTGATTATGGCAAACTAAAAGTAATACATAGACAACATCTCTTAAAACGTGTATACATTTTTTGGGCTGTGTGTGTGTGTGTGTGTGTGTGTGTGTGTGTGTGTGTGCACACGTTTCTCCAGAGAGTTATAGCCCTACAACATTAAAGAATAATTCTAGTCAGGCACAGTGGCTCAAGCCTATAATCCTAGCATTTTGGGAGGCTGAGGCGAGAGGATTGCCTGAGCCCAAGAGTTCAAGACCAGCCTGGGCAACTTGGCAAGACCTCGCCTCTGCAATCAATGAAAAAATTAGCCAGGCATGGTAGAGTGTGTCTGTAGTTCCAGCAACATGGCTGAGGCAGAAGGATCACCTGAGCCCAGCAGGTCGACGCTGGGGTAGCTGTGAGTGTGCCACTTGCACTCCAGCCTGGGCAATGGAGTGAGATTCTGACTTAAAAAAAATAATAATAATAATAATAATTCTGCTGGGGCTAGGAGGCAGGAATAGATGAATGATCCTGTAGGTGACTTTTAACAAGAGATCAAAGGAGAATCAAATGAGAATTTTATTCTAAATTTTGTTATCTTCCCGCAAGAAAAATGAATTACAAGCTTAAAAAATAATTTAAAAAAACAGACAAAACTAATTTATGGGGATAGAAATGAGAACAGTGCTGATCCCTGGGTATGGAGAGAAACTGATTACAAAAACACATGAGGGGACTTTCTGGAGGAATGGAAATGCTCTACATCTTGATTTGGGGGGCAGGGGACGGGCATATGTATTTGATAAGACTCATCTAACTGTATGCTTAATTTCTATGTATTTTACTGTGTGTAATCACACTTCAATAGAAAAATAAAAGGGAAACAAATAATGATAAAAATCAGGGTAAGAATCGAGAGATAGCCAGGCTTGGTGGCTCAGCCTGTAATCCTGCGCCTTAGGAGGCTGAGGTGAGTGAATTGCCTGAGCCCGTGGGTTCGAGACCTGCCTGGGCAACTTGGTGAGACCTCATCTCTACAATAAATCAAAAAAATTAGCCAGGCGTGATAGCACGTGCCTGTAGTTCCAGCTACTTGGAAGGCTGAGGCGAAAGAATCGCTGGAGCCCAGCAGGTCGAGGCTGCAGTGGCCAGGAGCAGCCACTGCACTTCAGTCTGGGTGACAGAGTGAGAATCCAACTTAAAAAAAAAAAAAAAGAAGCTGGGCTCGGTGGCTCAGCCTGTAATCCCGCGCCTTTGGGAGGCTGAGGTGAGTGAATTGCCTGAGCCCACGGGTTCGAGACCCGCCTGGGCAGCGAGACCTCATCTCTACAGTAAATCAAAAAATCAGCCGGGCGTGGTAGCACATGCCTGTAATTCCAGTTACTCGGAAGGCTGAGGCGGAAGGATTTCCGGAGCCCAGCAGGTCGAGGCTGCGGTGGCCGGGAGCGGCCACTGCACTCCAGTCTGGGCGAGAGTGAGACTCCAACTCAAAAAAAAAAAAAGAATCGAGAGATTTGCATTCCAGTCCCAGCAAAGGACCTTGGCTGGGTGTGTGATGTTCCCCATCACATTCCCTTTTTGAGTGTTTAAATTCTTCTGGAAAACAAAATTTGTGCCAAGGGATTGTTTAAAAAAAAACTTCAGAAGGAACACAATAATGCTAAAAAGACTGAGTCTTTACTCCCTGCACTAACTGATCAGACTTTGTAGAGAAGCATCTTTTCCTAATGGGGGTAAATCAGAATCACAGCCCGCCTGACCTTTCCAAAACATCTCAGCATCCAATACTACCATAAGAGTAGCTGGGAAGACAAAAGCTTGGTTCACTAAGTCAGTAGCATAGAAGATTTGGGCCGGGCCGGTGGCTCAGCCTATAATCCAAGCACTTTGTGAGGCCAAGGCGAGTGGATTTCCTGAGCCTGTGGGTTCAAGACCAGCCTGGGCAACTTGGCAAGACCTCATCTCCACAATAAATCAAAAATTAGCCAGGTGTGGTAGTGCGTGCCTATAGATCCAGCTACTTGGAAAGCTGAGGTGGAAGGATCACTGGAGCCCAGCAGGTCAACGCTGGGGTGGCTGTGAGCGTGCCACTGCACTCCGGCCTGGGCGACGGAGTGAGATTCCGACACACACACAAAAAAGTAAAGATTTGTCTAGCCAGAGTTAGGGAAATATGGGAAAAGACAAGCCAAGGAAAAGACAAGCCAAGGAAATGTGGACACAACTCATACGTCAGTGACCACAAAGTCAATTGTAAATGCCTAGAAACTGTCCCACCTGAGCAGCTCACTGAAGACTTTTACCGCCTGAAAGGGAGACTCTACAGAGAGAACTGGGGAGAAGCAGTGAGGGAGTCATTCCTATTCTGAGGCCAACACTTAGCCTTGTTTCCAGCCCAAAGAACAGGACAGTTCGAATAACTATGGCCCTAAAAGTTCTTTCACATCTGCCCATCAGGAGTACAAATACCTTTTCTGACTCTCCAAAGGGATTCTCAGTCTGAAGACAAGAACACATGAACATATCAGCTTCTTACCTCTCTTCGCATCTTCAAGTAAGGATCATCTGGACATTGTCCCGGGGAATTTAATTTGACTCCTATTTTTTTCAAAAAATTTTTTGTGAAGTTATCACAGTCATAAATCTTGAATGTCCGGCCATAGAACACAATGTCTATGCTGATATTAAAATGATACACAGTATAAAACTGATCATCATCAGGAGGTGGAAGAGGAATCCGATGACGCCGGATAAAAGTCCCTGTGGCATGAAATAAAACACAATTGCTTCAACATGTGGCTAACAAGTAAGAACATACAGCACATCTAAGTAACAACCCTGAATGCTTTCTCTCAACAGAAAAGTAGTCAAAGGGTTTGTTCTAGGAGGCAGCATTACTATATTCCAACTCTGAAAGAGTCAGAAGGAGCTGACACTTCTGAGGTTTAGAGGTCTGTGACCAGTCTTGCAGGTGGTTAGAGTTGCCTAAGTGGTGGCTGGGAGACGAATGACAGGGGTTATAAGCAGAGTGACCAAAAATGCCAGACACTGCTGTCATGCCTTTTCCTAGAACAAGTCTAGTCACATTCAGCCACTAGCACTCATGTGAGCACACAGAACAAGGCATTAAGGAGCCAATGCTCACAAAAATGCATAATAATCTTTAGTATGATAGGTGCCAACACTGTGACTTAACAGCTTTGATAAGCACAAATGACTTGAGGCTGCTGTGAAGCTTCGTGGAATCTTCTTTCTTTCTTTCTTTTTTTGGAGTTTTATAACTTTATTTGATGTTCTTGACAATCAGCGATTAGTTCTCATCCACATTGACTGTAGGTTTTTGAAAGTGGTAACAGGGACATCGGTCACCAAAGTATAAAGCTTGTTTGGTGAGTCTTCATCCTCATTTTGTTTCCTGGACAACTATACATGGATTCGGTACAGGACATTCCTTATTCCTTTGGCCCAGACAGCTTTGTTAAGTCAGGTATCAATGCGTACATCTGGAGTCCCCATCTCCTTCATGGCAAATTTTCGGATCTCTTTGAGTGCCTGAGGGGCATGCTTTTTGAAGCCCACTCCATGGATGTGCTTGTGAATGCTGATGGTGTATTCTCGGGTCACCATCTCGTTGATGGCAGAACAGCCCTTCTTCTCGTCACCCTTCTTTGCGGGTGCCATTCTGCCGGGCCCCAGAATCTTCTTTCTTCTATCAATTTATTCTTCCTCCTTCTTCCTCTGTAGTCTCTGTCCAACCACTGCCTCAAGTGAGAATTATCAGAGGCTTTATAGTTCTAGCCAGTGCTTTGGGACAAAGGTTCTAGATTTCATTCCATCTTCTACATCCAACCCTGATGCATATTCACTTCTTCTCTTGAGAATATGTTCCCAAGGTCCCAATGTATATCCAAAATGGTGGTCAGCCACTGGAGGTAAAAGGGCACCTTGCCCAAATGAGTGTACCAACTACACAACACAACAGCCAAGTTCCCCAAATATTGCTGCAACCTGTTTTAAAAATTGTTTCGAGTTTGAGATTTTATCCTACTTGCAAGTTGACAAGGTTAGCCTGCCATAGTTTCATGGATACTGGTAGAAGACTTGAGATGCCTTGGTTAGAGGCCAAGGGCAGTTAATTACTCAACAACAGTAATAGTAAAGAAAACAACAGCAATTTTAGCACCAGTTTCCTAATCCCAATTCCCACAGGGTGACATAACAAGGACCAGGTGACTCCTCCGCATGCAGTAGGTTATATTACAGGAGGGGAGCATTAAGCTTAGGGAACCCAGATCTTCTATAAAGAGCAATAAGCATTCCTGCCTTTTATCTCAGAGGGAGATATTATCTTTATTAGACTGGACAGTAAGCAATGTCTGCCCTTTGTTCTAGAGGGAGACACTATCTCTATCTTCTAAGGCTTTATAAGCAAACATGCACTTGGCTCCAGAAGGAAGGACCATCTTTGTCTTAGAAAGCTGTTTGCTATATAGACATCCTTGAAGAGAAAGTCCAAAATAAAGAGCAATTAGTACTTCTGCTTGCAAGATATACAAATGCAAACCGGGCTCAGTGGCTCAGCCTGTAATCCTGCGCGCCTTGGGAGGCTGAGGTGAGTGGATTGCCTGAGCCCGCGGGTTCTAGACCCACCTGGGCAACTTGGTGAGATCTCATCTCTACAATAAATCAAAAAATTAGCCAGGTGTGGTAGTGTGCGCCTGTAATTCCAGCTACCTGGAATACTGAGGCGGAAGGATCGCCAGAGCCCAGCAGGTCGAGGCTGTGGTGGCCGGGAGCAGCCACTACACTCCAGTGTGGGCGACATAGTGAGACTCCAACTCAAAACAAACAAACAAACAAAAACAAAAAAACAAAAGAAAGATATACAAATGCAAGATACCCATGGAGAATTCTCTCGACATCTGTAACTGACTTAGGCCTGAGAATCTACACCAAGAGTAAAGAGAAAAGGGAAGCAGAGCAAACAGAGACTCTAATGATGCAATAAAAATCGGCTTGTGGGACTTCTACATGGAGGTACTTTAATATAAAGATGTCAACCTATTTTTTTCATATTTTATATAGCACTGAGAATGGTGCTTTTTCCCGAAGTCTAAAGATGCTTAGAAATTATTCATCGTTTATTCATTAAGGAACATTTAATGAATATCTTTATGTGCCAAGAACTGTGCTGGGCTCTGTTCCATTACTCTACTTATCATCTTTTCACCCTGTTGAGAAAAAATTAACTAAAATCATCTTCATCTTCTTTTCTTTGTAGCAATTTTTAATTACTTAGTACATTAAATTAAAATAATAAAACTATAAAATTAGAACTGGTCTAGAATATTTTTAAATGTACTACATAAGAGATGATATAATTTTACTGCGAAAAATTATTCTTCAATTATAGCCTTTAATTCATGGCACTGAAAACAGTATGCAAATTATTTAATCATTCAAGATTAGACATTTAGAACAAATTACATATTTAAATATCTGTAAAAGGATGGCCATTTCAGGTATTTTCAGAAATTATTATACACATCTTTCAAAAATACTTATATTATGATAGTTTTTTAAATGTATAAGAATTATTCAACAGTCAGGAGCATCTTCAAAAGTTCCCATCCATCTTGCATTTGTACTTCATTGTAAAAATTCAAATAAGCAAATTAGTACTGATTTTGTTCAATAAGAGTTTGAATAGGAATCCTGTCTTTTTCTAGGTGGAAAGAACTGGTCCACCCATTGGATTTTTTTTGTTTTTTTTGTTTTTGAGTTAGAGTCTCACTCCATCGCCCAACTGGAGTACAATAGCACACTCCCAGACACCACAGGCTCAATTTGCTGGGCTCCAGCAATACTTCCACTTCAGCCTTCCAAGTACCTGGAACTACAGGCGCGCGCTATCACACCCAGCTAATTTTTGATTTATTGTAGAGATGAGGTCTCGCCAAGTTGCGCGGGCAGGTCTCGAACCCTCAGGCTCAGGCAATCCACACACCTCAGCCTCCCAAAGTGCTGAGATTACAGGCTGAGCCACTGAGCCCGGCTCCATTAGACTTTTAAATAATATTGTACTAACCACAATCATCATCACAGCCCTAGGATAGACTTTCATTTATATTTTCTCATTTAATGCTCAATAATCCCATAAGACAGATAATATATGAAACACAAATATTCAGTTTTTGGTGAGAAAACCAAAGTTCAGTGTGGTTAAGTGTCATGCCCTGGGTCATGCCCTAACAACTGGCAGAAAAAGATTTTTAACTTGGGTTTTCAGACTCTAACTAAATACCATTATCTTCCATAGTTTGCAGTGAACTGTATTTCACTGTATCACAGACACAATTTACTTAATGAAAGGAGGACGAGCCATAGGCAAAACAGTACAGAATTAGGAAGAGCTGCCAGCCACTATGAAAAGATGAAAGAGAGATGCTGAAGCTGTTCTTATGAGAGAACAGCCTCTCTCTGCTCTAGGGCAAGTCTCCACAGACTCCCACCTGCCACTGTAGCAATCCCCATCTCACCCCCACCTCAGGGCCAGCCCCACTGTGTTACTTGCCCTTTCAAGGAACCTGCCAATCTGATACTCGTCCTTCTCATCCTCCACACTTCTCTCACTAGATGCTTCTCAAAAGAGGCCAGGGAAGTGCTACTGGTAACAAAAAAGAGGCCTAAACGTCCCATGAGTTAGAAAGAGCGGACAGATCTAACACTAACCAGGAAAATTTGATAACAAAAAATCCAGCATCACAATTCCATGTTAATTAGAAAACAAGTAGCCAGGCTCGGTGGCTCAGCCTGTAATCCCGCACTTTGGGAGGCTGAGGTGAGTGGATTGCCTGAGCCCGAGGGTTCAAGACCCGCCTGGACAACTTGGTGAGACCTCATCTCTACAATAAATCAAAAAAATTAGCCGGGTGTCGTAGCGCACGCCTGTAGTTCCACCTACTTGGAAGGCTGAGGTGCAAGGATCACCGGAGCCCAGCAGGTCGAGGCTGCAGTGGCTGGGAGCGGCCACTGCACTCCAGTCTGGGTGACAGAGTAAGATTTCAACTAAAAAAAAAAAGAAAACAAAAATATGGGCAACTTGAAAGGTACAGATGAACATGAGAGTTTTCAATAATATATTCATGGAATTTCTCAACTGTGTCATTTGGCAATTAAAATTTCTATTTATTGGGATTTGTGTGTTTATAGACTTCCAAGATAGATGGCAGGAACTCCATCAGCAGGAGTTTGTTCTAGAATATCAAAGAAATGGGCAGGATGCCAAGTCTTTGGCAAACACTGAAGAGCAGCAGATCATCAAGGCAGAAAAATTAAAATGTTATAAAATAGAAAAACTACCAACACACCATATCTGTCCTTTAAATTTTCAGATATTTCTCTTCTTAACTGCCTCATGAAGACAACCGGGAAGCATGTCTGGGCATCAAGTGGCTGCTTTCCAGCTTTTCCTCATCTTCATATTTCACATCCCTCTTCCTTTGTAAAAGCCCTGCTATCTGACTATACTCTGCAAGCTTTAACTTTCTAACATTCCCCTGTGGATTAGATCAAAGTGACCATATATCTATTAGTGTTTAATGTGTTTTCATGTTATTCAGTAGGGACTTGTCTTAGATCTTTGCTCATACAACTAAATTTAATTTTTTGGAATTCACCTTCCAGAATTAAGACTACAACCTCACAAAAATACAAAAAAAAATAAAAATAAAAATCAATGAAGTCAAAAGCTGGTTTTC